ATACTCATGTCATGCATTACATATACCAGGATACAAAAGTACCTTAGTCAATAGACCATAATGCAGGTAACTTTTATCATGCTATGATCTCATTTATGTACTGTTTCCTTAAGATTTAACATTCAATTTCTATACTTCTAAATGATTAGCATTTCAAATTAATAACTCATCCAGTGCACTCGGTATGAAAACAGATGAGAAGAGGGGGATGGAGGCAGGTATCCAAAAGAACATCCTTTCCATTATGTGAGATATGTCTCGTGCATGCCGATATCAAAATGGAAAGTCTCTAATCATGCTCGTGTGAAGCTCACTTTAACATTGTGCTGTGTTGCATCTAAAGGGCATGGCATTGAATCACTTGGTGATATCACAATTACAGCATCTGCTGGAAAACAGCAGCATTGCGGATGTCCGTGAAGCGAGCAGATCACCATCTGTTTACATCCAAACAAGAGAGATCAGTCTTCCTCCTATAAGGTGCTTTGCTGAATAGTAGATATCCTTTGTAGGGAGAGAGGAAGGAGGAGGGACGGGGGTCACCTAACTTCTTGGTGCTTACCACTTGGCTGCAGGTGCTTGCATGTCTCTGCAGACTTTTCTGGTGCATTGTGCAACTTGCTGAAATGTTTTCTGTACTCCATGCATAAGATTTTAGTATCACGCCGTCATTGGATGAGACCGTGTGCTCTCTGCGTCCTCCAGGGAGCCGTGTATATGCGTAATATTCAATGTTTTCTTTTTGATGTACCTATATATTTGTAGGATCAGAAGAATTAATTATTCTATCTACCTGTCATTCACTCTAAGAGCTTTGATTTTCCTTTCCTTTCTATATAGCTTAGCATAGTTGTAGGCCTAATGCCATAGAGCGCTTTGAGGAGGTAAATGAAGCATTCCTAACTGATGGTCTACTCCACATATGACAGTCCCATAGAGATCCTCTAAGTTCTTAGCTAGTTTCTAAACATCTGTAAGCAGCTTGCTTTTATTTACACAGTTTTGGTTGGCTATAGTGCAATTGCCAGTTCTGAGGTTTGCCTCCCTAAAGTTGTCGATGCTATTGTTTATGTCTCCATCGATCTCCATGTACTCTGACTTGCTGACGGTGGATGAACTACGGCGGCTGGAGTTGGTTTCAGAGGGGAGGTTGGTATTGCTGACGTTCAGCAGCTGGGCCTGCTCTTCTCCCTCGGTCTCCCTGTGGTAGAAGTAGTTGAAGTTGGACACAATGACAGGCACTGGGAGCGCAATTGTCAACACTCCGGCGATGGCACACAGAGATCCTACAATCTTGCCTCCTATAGTGACCGGCACCATGTCCCCATAGCCCACAGTTGTCATAGACACAACAGCCCACCAAAAGGCGTCCGGGATGCTGCCAAAGTGGGATCCGTCCTCCTCTGCCTCGGCGAAGTAGACAGCACTGGAGAACAAGATGACTCCAATGAACAGAAAGAAGATCAGCAATCCCAGCTCTCGCATGCTGGCCTTGAGCGTCTGCCCCAAAATCTGCAGTCCTTTGGAGTGTCGAGACAGCTTGAAGATCCTGAACACTCTGACCAGACGGATCACCCTGAGTATGGCCAGAGATGTTGCCTGCTCCCCCACTCCCTCTTTCTCTGGGTCTTCGGCCAGCTCTGTGCCGAGTGTGATGAAGTAAGGGATGATAGCCACTATGTCGATCATGTTCATCATGTTCTTGAAGAAGGCCGGTTTGCTCGGGCACGCCAGAAAGCGTACAATCAGCTCAAAGGAGAACCAGATTATACAGAGTGTCTCAATGACGAAGAAGGGGTCAGTGAGGAGATTTGGCTTATAATAAATAGTAGTGTTCCCAAATGGGATCATTCGACCCCTGGGGTCCTCTTTCAGCTGTGGTAAAGTCTCTAAACAAAATATGACAATTGAAATCAGGATTACCATCACAGACACAATGGCGATCACTCTCGCAGGGCCTGAGCTCTCCGGGTGCTCGAAGAGGAGCCAAATCTGACGCTGGAATTCATTTTCGGGTAAAGGACGCTCCTCCTCCCTGATGAAACCCTCGTCCTCACGAAACTTCTCCATGGCATCCGCCCCCAGCTCGTAAAATTTGATTTCTTCTGAGAACATTTCCAAAGGGACGTTCACTGGTCTCCTCAGCCGGCCCCCTGACTGATAGTAATAGAGGATGGCATCGAAGCTGGGGCGGTTTCTGTCGAAGAAGTACTCGTTTCTCAGAGGGTCAAAGTACCGCATCCTCTTTTTGGGGTTGCCGAGCAATGTCTCTGGAAACTGGGAGAGGGTTTTCAACTGTGTCTCGAACCGGAGCCCGGCTATGTTGATGACCACCCTCTCGCAGCATTCGTGGTCATTGTGGTCCGGGGGATAGGTGTCCTGAGGGTGTCCCGGGACAGCCGAGGTGTCGTCCATGTTATCTCCTGCTACCACGGTCATTTTGGAAGGAGGAGGAGGGGGAGGAGGAGGAGGAGTTGTGTGGGGATCCCGGTTAGTCTGACTGAGCAGGCATTCAGGTTCGGGGCAAATTTTCCACTCCTCAGCTTCCCACACCCCTTAAATTGTTGAAGACGTCCCCGGACACGAGGGGGCTAGCTGGCTGCTTTGCCTCAGTGCGGCTCCACTGCGGTTCTCGCTGACTTGACCATTGCTGCTCTCCTGTGCATCTGCTGCTGTTGTTACTGCTGCCTCTGTCACACAGAGAGAGAGGGAGGGAGGGAGGGAGGGAGAGGGAGAGGGAAAGAGAGAGAGAGAAGGAGGAAGAAATAATGGGATCAAACAGCCAAGATATTTGCTGGCTCAGCATTTTTTGCAGTTGCTTTATTTATTTATTTAGTTCTCTCAACCTGCAATAAGTGCAATTATCTGGTAGTAAAGGTTGAAAACACAAAAAAGAGGTGCAATTCTATAATATAAATATGTATCATCTTACTGTAGCGGTGATAATATGATGATTTTAATATTCCTATGATTTTATGGGCAGTTTTACCCTGTTTCTCTGATACAGTCATATGCTGTTTCTGTAAGGGTGTTCACTTTAGTTTTACATAAATGATGTGGTTTATGTCTTAAAGGAGCATGACCATCATTTATCCTACGGCACTCTAAACCATCCTGAATTATGATGTGACGCATAGCATCTGATTCAGATATACACCAACTGATGTTTCTGCAAACAGCCTAAAGGCTTTCCGCGGGGCAACAAATATGTAAAACCCATTTACGAGATAGTAAAACAATGCACTAGCTGTCTAAGCTAACCATTAAAACAACAGCAGCTGTGGAGGAGAAAACAATCTAACCGATATGATTATTGCATAAGTCAGCAGTTTCGGGGCTTACCGTTGGCTGTTCTTGAAAGGTCCTGAATGCGTCTTATCCTCGAGTAAAATCATCCAACGGCAGGGCAGCAGAGGGTGTCATGTGGCAACTTTACATTGCACCTTCCTCAAAAAGAAAGAAGCCTACAGCCTCTCTGTGCTCTTCGCCATCCTCAAAGTGCCCCCAAATGTCTTAGGAAGGTGAAGCCAAGTAGAAAAAACAAGATGTGAAATCAGGTGAGTGTAATGAGGAAAGCCTGGGATGGAAAAGGAACAGAAAGAGAGCCGCAGCGTCGGGAGTTGCTCGCTCCGCGGCACGGTGCGTGAACAGCTCACAGCATACCGCAGGAGAAAATCTTGCGCTGCAATTCAGGGGGGGAGACACATTAAGGGGCAATAAGCGAGCCCTTGACATTTCCAGACATCTCTGCATCAGCAGAAATCTTCCGCTTTTTGCGAGTGGACGAGATGACAAGCACAATGTGTTTTCAGCACGGCTCGGAGGGCAGGATAAAAGACACGGAGAGTGCAGCAGCTAGGTCCAAATGTTTTCTCCACAATGTCAAGCAAGTTTTGCTGTGCATTTTACATGCAAGTGCAGGGGAGGTGAGGGGGGAAGAGGGGAGAGGAGAGGAGAGGGGAGGGAGAGCAGCAGGAGAAGCAGGAGGAGGAGGAGTTGGAGGGTTTCGACGCAATGCAGACCGGCTCTACTAAAGCACGCCGGTAGAAGTTCTCCACACACCACAAAAACAAGAGCACTTGTGTGCCAGCACTGGCGCAATCTCACTGCAAAGAGGGACAGTTGGTAACAAAACCTCTAAACCCACACTGGGTGACATTTGAGATGTTTAATAATTTAGAAAAACTAGTCAGAAATTGCTTAGATTATAATACCCATCTACCCCCTAAATATGTTATTTTAATGTGCCCGATGTGAGACCAATTAGATTGTGTAACTTTCATCACTTTTCTAGTGAGCAATAAGAAAGATAAAGTCCTGCACACAGTGTTTGCACCCTTCATAGTTATGAAACTTGCATTCAGGATGTGCACTATATATACTCACACCAAATATCACCTTGTGATACTAGTATAACATCCCACCAACCTTCACTCATTGCTGCATATGGATCTGAAAGTCAGACAGTTTTGAAAGAAATGCAGGAATGTTGGCACTGCAGAGGCCACAGGATCAGCTTCAGCACCACGGATAGCGCAGTGATTAATTCACCTCACAGAAAACTACAAATCCCAAAATAATCCAGAATGTACTAAAGTCATTACTGTACAGCAGCATAGTACATATGTCTCCATTGACTTTGAGTGTATAGGCACGAGGCCTAAACACAGTGAGAGTCAAAGCTGAATTGACTCTAAACAGCTGTCTGCTGACTTTTTAAAAACGAGACATTCAACAAAAAGAGCAGGTCATCAGGTCTAATTTGTTAAATGTGCCTCCAGCCAATTAACCCTCCCCAACATTAATTACTTTGACATTTTATTAAGTTAATTGGTTTTGTGGCAAGACTACATAATATCTGCTTCTACGCCCTTGTTTTCAAACATTTAGCAGCAAAAGTGATAAAAGATATTGAACCAATTTAAGGGCATTTATTTGACACAAGTGACTCTCTGTTTGCCTTCTTTGAATACTGAGGGAAGAATGACGAGCGATACATGTTCTGATTCATAATTTATTTATAAAAAAAGGATTAAGTTAAGTTCACATACATGTTTGAATTATAAAAATAAATATTTTATTACATTTAAAATTCACAATGCATTCGTGTCATGCAGACATTGCATTGTAATGTCTATGTGGGCTATGTTCTCGTGTAGCTGCAATGCAATCCGAATGATTGCAACAACACAGAGACAAGTTGCCATTCCAAGTTTGCATTAAAACTGCATAAGAAAATAATTCAGAATTACAAAAAAACGCAGTATACATGCACAAGGCTTTTTATACACAGAAAGCGTGGTCATCAATAAAGCCTATAAAAGAATGTTGTTTTTTCTACTGTTGATAAACACAATGTCCATTATCGCAGACTGAATCTTTCCAAAGCATTTCCTCCATCTCTGTATATATACAACACTGGCAATGCAAAAATATCAGTGAGAAAAGTATCCACTACTTTGGAGAAGAAAATAATCCCACGCTTGTGTTTTGTTGTGACTCTGAAACACGCTTCACAAACTCATCTGCCTCCTGCAAGTAAGCCGAAAATAAAACTCACTAAGTAAACAGTAATAGAGAGCAGTCAGGCTTCTGCTGAGCTTAGTTAACCATCACAAGCATCCATACAGTCAAAGAGCATGATCTCAGGGGTTTATGCCTAAATCAGTCAATGTCATGTGCAGCAGTGCAGAGATACACAAGCTGAAGTTTTCATTTTACACAGCATTCTGAGCAGGGATGAGTTTCATCCACAGAGGGGCGCTCACAGCTCACTTTCCTGATCAGATTGAATAAAGGTATGCTGCAAACTCCGAATAAACAAAGTCTGGGATGGCTCCTAAAGTGAGGTTTGTTTTTTTGGAAGAAAAGTACAGAAAGCGATGCTGTCATTAAGAGACATGTATATTTTAACTATGGATAAGTGATCTCGTCGTTATTATGTAAAACATGTACACTTTTGACAATAGTACCCTGAGGGATTAAGCCAACAATTCACAGTCCAAACAGACGTAAAAAAGATCGAATGTTCCAAAAGGGACAGCAGTTATGAGTCATCAAAGCGAAATACAAACCCATTTCCTTCTAACTCTTGCGTAACTCGTTTGGGATACGTGATCGTATCAAAGTTTGGTTCGTGCGTAAACAACATTTAAGGGACTTTTTACAAAAAATGTTTTGACTGAACTGAGAAATTAAAGACGAACACATTGTTTTTCAATGATCCTCTATTGACTGCTCAGTTTGTTAGCATGGCTCGATTACGGCTAGTGGTATTTCAGCTATGCCCTGTGTGCCCCAGGGGTTCCCAAATGTTTGCACGTCAGGGCTATGGTATCGCTTTACTGCACAGTTCCCCATGTATTGACTGTTGCTCCCCTCCCTTGCCACATTTTAATACATCACGGTACATTTAAGCCAGTTCTCACTTTGGTGGGGGCTCCTGTAGCATAAACATATGAGGCTCCACTTTTAGAAAAATACTTTAAAACAGATTGCGTAAAAGCCCCCAGCATGTAGGAGCTTTAATGATATGTCCACTGGAAGACAACTCACCAGAAATAAAAACTCCTTCCAACGTTTTATACCTCTGTCAGTCTCACTGTGCATGTCTCCACTGGGATTACTTTTGGATGCGTCAAAGTTTCCAAATAGTCGCTCTCCTGGAAGGACTCAGTTTTGGAGAGCGATTGGTTGCTTTTGTTTGAATCACTTTCACTTAAGGAGGGCTGCTGCTGCTGCCCGCATTTGACATGCACATACACAACATTTTCCTCATCCTCGTTCTCTCTGTGGTAGAAATAATTGAAATTTGACACTATGACAGGGACAGGTAAAGCTATGGTTAGCACTCCTGCAATGGCGCACAACGATCCGACGAATTTGCCCCCAATGGTGGAGGGGCACATGTCTCCATATCCAACTGTCGTCATTGTCACCACTGCCCACCAAAACGCATCGGGTATACTTGTAAATCCAGAATCTGGGTCTTCTGCTTCTGCGAAATAAACCGAACTGGAGAATAAAACAACTCCAATGATCAGGAAGAAGATGAGCAGTCCCAGCTCCCTGAGGCTGGCTTGAAGCGTCTGGCCGAGGATCTGGAGACCTTTGGAGTGCCTGGAAAGTTTAAAGATCCTGAAGACTCGGACCAGACGGATGACCCTGAGGATGGCCAGAGACGCTGCCTGCTGACTGCTGCCCTGATGCTCCGCCAGGTCAAGGCCCAGGGTGATAAAATATGGAGCTATTGCCACAACATCGATTATATTCATGATGTTTTTAAAGAAAGCTGCTTTACTGGGGCACGACAGAAACCTCATGGTGAACTCAAAGGAGAACCACACGATGCAAAGTGTCTCCACCATGAAAAACGGATCTGTGAACGGACTGGGCTCAAAGGCGATGATACTCCCATTGGGATGAGTTTTTGGCACCAGTGGGACCTCTCTAAACTCGGGTAAAGTCTCCATGCAGAATATGATAATAGATATTAAAATAACCACAACAGACACAATGGCGTTTATCCGTGCAGGTCCTGAGCTTTCTGGATACTCAAAAAGGAGCCATAACTGGCGTTGGTATATGTTGGTTGGCAGAGGGCGATCCTCCTCCCTCGATAAACCCTCATCGTCTTTGAAAAGTTCAATGGTCTCCTCCTCAAATTCATAAAACTTTAACTCCTCCAGGAAAATATCCACAGGTACACTGACGGGCCTCCGGAGCCTCCCTCCTGACTGGTAATAATAGAGGACGGCGTCAAAGCTCGGCCTGTTCCTGTCAAAGAAGTATTCATTCCTCAGAGGGTCAAAGAAACGCATCCGTTTACGTGGATCTCCCAAAAGCGTGCTGGGGAAGCGCGAGAGGGTCTTTAGCTGCGTCTCGAAGCGCAGACCCGAGATGTTGATGACCACTCGCTCGCTGCACTCCGTGTCGGCTGCTTCCAAGTCAGCAGCATCTTGCAACAAAGGAGTTACGACCACAGTGTCGTTGTGGTTCTCCTGGGACACCACGGTCATCTTTTTTACCCCTCCGAGGGTAAACCCGTCACTCACCTCCTCTGGGTTCTCCTCTGTTACCCGTGCGTCCTCACAAATCTCCGTCTCATGCAGCCGCTCACACTCAGAAAAACTCTCCCCACCTGTTTTAGTTTTTTTTCTCCCCAACTGTTTTTGTTTGTTGATATCGAAAAATGTTCGACCAGTTGTTGATTTATACCGTCCCTTTGTCAGATTAGTGCCTCTGAACTGTCAACTTTCAATGATGCAGACAGATCTCCACTTGCATAAGCTATCCCGATGGCTATCATATTCACACCATTTTAAACTCCAAAGCCCTCCCCAAGTTGGAAGACCAGATGACACTTGCTGCTGCTGCTGTCCCTCTCACACTCACTCACCTCACTGTAGCACTGCACTGATTTATAAGTACCGGGATAGCCTTACAATAGTCTTCTTTATTGTTGTTTATTTGTTGCACTTTTACATGTATCTTAAAAATGATAATAAAAAGTTTGGTTAAAGTTGGAACATTTTGTACAGGATTGGGGGGGGGGAAGTCCCCTATTAGATATCAATAGTCATAGGAAATGAAGTAAAAGATAAAAACAAATCATATACTTAATTAATCAAAGTATTAAGAGTAGGCAGTATTACTAAAATGGTTTGAAATCTACTCCTCTGTTTCCAAGTTGAGATAAATCATAATGTCATCATTGAAGTGCTATAAATCTACATGTATCTTTCTACAAATATCCCACATTAAATTCCTCAGTCTACTCTATGTCCCTGTTCAGAGAAAGGTCCATAACTTTACCAGAGACTACTGAGAAACTGAGTCTCTCACCCTGGAGGTCCCTTATTCATGAAATCATGTGGCTATTCTTGTCACAAGGGAACCTCCAGCACCCGGCTGTTGTCTACTTTGGGTCACAGCCCACCGTTTTAGAAACCAGGAGTGTTGACAAATAGATCCAGCATGTTAACAGTATTGAGGGTTTCTTTTCTGCAGCTACATAACTTGAAATAAATGACATGAAACAACCCGAATGCTCTGAAGCGCAGGGCCTCGTATAGAGCCAGGGGCCGGCCAGTGGAAAGTGCTGGCTGTACTGACACTTGAGTAGACCGGGGATGATAGCATCTTGAGAAAGCCACGGCCGAAATAACACCCACCTTTTATAGCACTTAAAAGGCTCAATTGTACAGCTTGGAACACGGGGGACCCTCAGAAGACAAGTGACCTGGCTATGGGGTCACTGAAGGTGTTAAAAAAAGGTGTTAAAAATCGGACACCTTCAGTCTTATCAGTTCCCTATAGACCCTGTGTATCCAACAATAGTTCAGGTTTCACTTTCTTAAATGTTAAAGATTAATACACCTATTGGAGTTTGGTTGAGACTTGGCCCGAGTGTACAGAGTGAATTGATATGTGTACCGCAGCATTGTGATCTAATTATAGCCTGTTTTTTCCCACTTTCATTGCCTTCATGAAGCTGCATCAGGTATGTCAGTCAGTGCAGTTGTGGACGCAGCAATAATAGCTCAAGGGCGATAATCAGTGTTACTAAAACCAACCTGAACGCTTTGCATTATTACCTTGATGGGGGCAATCTTTGTTGGGGACAACATGCCACCACACATTTTTACGAGAGAGAGGTTATATCTTTTTTTCATGGTCAGGTTAACAAGCACAGCCCCCCCCCCCTAAAGGAGCACAGTTTTTTTTTGCCTTTCCATTAGTGAACAAAGGGGTTGGATGTCAGAGTAAAATGTCAGTGTCAGGACACGGAGCCGCCTGCTGCTAATGTGTCAGCATATTGCGTTCAGCAAATTACTGTATGGGTCACGCCAAGGTTTTAGGCGTTGAATGTAACCAAGGAAACAAACAATAATAAACAATCTGAGGAATGGAGACACGACTCTAAATCGGTCAGTCCAAAAAATACTTGCAGTATTAGAGTTTCCTCGATCTGGAAAGATCACAGTAACCTCCCCTTGTCATCTACATTGGTATTTTTCTCCATATTCATTTGTGGGATCAAAAATAGTTTTTAGGCTCAATATTATTATTTTGAACAATATATATTTTTATTATTTATTGTCCTTTCATGTTAAACCCAATAACATATATTTAAAATATACATAGCCAAACATGTATTATTATATAAGTAAATACAGTATAACAACATATTCTCCATGCATGTTTGTGATGGGGCTTTCCGTAGGGCCTTTCTATAGAAACACATACCTTTAGATATGCAGAGAGACATGCATTTACGTGCATACTTTACAGTGACTGCAATGAGACGTAGCCTGGGAGACACATGCCATAAAGCCTGCAGGGTGAATGCTGACAGCGGGGAACCTCCCTTCGTTATTAATGGCTCGATCCATGAATGCAGGAGACCCCCAAGGAAACAGGATACTGTGGATTTTCTCACACTGAGAAAAAGAGAATGTGCTTTCTTATCATTCTGCAGAGGAATCAATTTGTTTGAATGTTTGAGAAAATCAGTGATTTCTACTGGCATTTATAGCATCATGATTTCATATTGTGTTAATATGATTTAAGATTAAACAATATTTATTTAAAAAATAGCACGATGGAAAAACATGAATTATTACTATTTGACTAACAATTATATCAACATCATTCACTTTTAATGAAAAACGCATACTTTTAGCAATAAAGATGTTCTGAAAAAACAATAAATATGTATCTTTTTAGAGTTTGTGTTTATGAGCATGTTGATTGATGACACTTGTTCCTCTGACTCTTGTCTTTGTCTAAAAATAGACAGAATGAGGCTCCTTGCTAACACTTTACAGACGTGAGGTAATCACAGCAGCCTCTTGCGTCACTGACTCCTCTTGGCGTTCCTCTTTCCAAACACCAGGCCAAGTATTTACAAAGTGTGTGTGTGTGCATTTCTGTAAGTGTGTATCCATCATTAGTACGATTGTGAATGAACTCATGTGTATATAAAGTGTGTGTGTTTGTTATACATTTAAATGGGAGTTTTTAGAAGGTCAGACGTGCTAGTCAACAGCTCCTTTAGATCACTTCGCTTCAGTTTCAACTAATCCGCTCAAAGTGAAATAGGGCTGAAGGGCTGGTGATGACAGCGTCTCAGGAATGACACAGGAATTAGTTTATGAAGGTGGAGCTATATCTGGGATCCTCTGATTCAACAGCTACAATTTCCTTACCAGTATCCAAGGGTTTGCACTGACCTAGGGACAGAAAGGCGTCTCATACCTTTCTCCATTGACCTATATATAATCTAGTGCCCTTGATGAAATGATAAAGCCATGTGAAAAGCTCATGATACCCAGCGATACAACAGATGCATTTTCCGTGTCTGTTGGCTCTTTTTCTTTTTGAACTGTAGCGTGCTAGATTTTCACCTCAAGGGACTTCCTAGTTAAACAAATATTCAATTAATATATTTTAATAAAGTATCACTACTTATTATTCAAAACAACAACTTACCTAAAGCCAGTAAGGTCAATGACTTCTATACAGCTGTAGGTTAAAAATAGGGTTGCACAGTATGAGGTTATATGTCATGAGGGGATATGATCGGTCTATAGCTGTCACACAAATCTCTCTGAGTCTATCAGTACTGTGTGTGTGTGTGTGTGTGTGTGTGTGTGTGTGTGTGTGTGTGTGTGTGTGTGTGTGTGTGTGTGTGTGTGTGTGTGGTGTGTGTGTGTGTGTGTGTGTGTGTGTGTGTGTGTGTGTGTGTGTGTGTGTGTGTTGTGTGTGTGTGTTGTGTGTGTGTGTGTGTGTGTGTGTGTGTGTGTGTGTGTGTGTGTGTGTGGTGTGTGTGTGTGTGTGTGTGTGTGTGTGTGTGTGTGTGTGTGTGTGGTGCAAGTTACTGAGGCTGATTTATGAGAATATGTTGTTATCACTGTATTAAAATGTGCTAATAATACAGTGAAAATTAATATATTGTATCATAAATCTTGAGGTGCAGCTGTTATTTTAGTTATTAATACTCTAAAAACATTTCAAATGATTAATTGGATAAGAAATCATTTAGCTTTATTGAAGAGCAATTGTAGTATGAAAAATAAAAACAGGCCTCTTAAAATTAACTAATCATTTTCCTTTTTATGTTAAATCGACATTTTTAAAAAAAGTTATCAAAACAAAACCCCTTTCATTGCATTTAAGTGCCATTTTACATTCTGGGTTTAAAAACAACTACCAATGTTGTGAGGGAAACTACTGAAGCAATTGGAAACAGGACTCAGAGAGACACAAGGAGAGCTGGAACATTGATGGCAAACACTGGCGGTTTATTTGGAGCTTCGGCCGGAGAATTCACAAGACATGTCATGCGCCACGAGTTGACCCAACGGATGCCAAACCAATTCTGAAGATCTCTACCCCAGACCCATGTATTTAGCTGGTTCTGAGAGAATTGTCAACATGCTGCAAAGCACTGAGAGCACAGCCACCAAGGCTACAGGTGCCTGAGCTCAGTGAGGGCAGCACAAACTGATACACTGGGTCAAAGTTATGGGCCTTGTATATAAATCACTTGAAAAAAGGGATACACATCATGGCATCTAGCTCAGTGCCGGCGGATTAAACTAATTTGATTCAACATGTTTTGATTTGACCCTACACACAGTACATCTTCAAATCACACTGTGAACTTTATATGGATTACAGCATACATTTAAGTCTTCACTCATCAGCCGGTGCATATGGCTAAGTTGTGAGGAGCGTGTGCAGCTGCATCTAATTAATGGTGTGAACGTTTTAGCCTAATAGAGTCTAAGCTGTGTTCAAGCTGTGCCCATTACCCACTGTACAAGAGAGTGGACCGAGCCTCCTCACACCGAGGTGTCTGAACCCAGGGCTTCCACAGAGCTCTTTGCCAGTTCCTTGGTTTTGATATCCACCAAGTTTAGCCTGCTGTCATTTGATGACGTTCATGTTTTTGCTGATAGGTAACGCGCCATTCAGCAGCGAGAGATGAAACTGGATACCTCAGATCCGGAGGGCAGGGTTCCTTGGAAGTACTTCTGCATGTCTTGTTCCATGCGTACCTCGGATTATCATTTCACTCCTTGATCGAGCATTTCCCTTTTTTAGGAGACAGTGTCGTCCAAAATCCAGGCC